GTCGCCACATGTACAATGCAGCTATACAATCTAACTTACATGTCGAACTGTTTGGTTTTTTTATCAGACGGTGGAGATCAAGGTGAAGATGGACTGCGAAGGATGCGAGAGGAAGGTGAGGAGGTCTGTGGAGGGGATGAAAGGCGTGACGCAAGTGACCGTAGAGCGCAAGGCCCACAAGCTCACAGTCGTCGGATACGTGGACCCGGGCAAGGTGCTGGCACGTGTCGCGCATCGGACGGGCAAGAAGGTGGAGTTCTGGCCATATGTTCCGTACGACGTCGTTGCCCACCCGTACGCCGCTGGGGTGTACGACAAGAAGGCTCCGTCCGGGTACGTGAGGAACGTGGAGGATCCGCAGCTCCGGAACCTCGCACGTGCGAGCTCCACGGAAGTGCGTTACACCACGGCTTTCAGTGATGAAAACCCAGCTGCCTGTGCTGTCATGTGAGCTGTCAATTTGTGACGTGACATGGATGGAATCTTTTTTGGATATGTCAAATGTCGTGTATGCTGAGTTGCACATTTTTTTCTTTCTTCCTTTTTATCATTATAGGTTTGTTAAGAAATCAACACCATGGAATTGGCTCTAAGCTTTTGAGCTTTTGATTGTATATGAAGTGGTTGAATTTAGTGGAATATTTTGGATATTTGACCTTTAAATTGGTCTTGGTATTTTGTATACCAAACAAAGGAAAAAAAAAAAGGTTTAATATTGAAAATGATTCTTCTAGACCTCAAATTCGAATTAGCAGTTTTCAGTCATTGATGCATGTGAAGTGCATGATACATCATTGATTGAGATCATTCACTCGTTGAATCATTCTGTCAATAGTTGAGATTCGTTTAATTATTGAAACATGTTTCAAATTTGAATCATACTACCACTGAAATGTCGTGATGAATATGATAAAGGTACAAAAGCGCTTTTGTATTTACCTATGAATCACAAAAAAGAACTTGCAGGTGCAGCCATGATCACTTAATTGAAACTCGGTAAAGTATATGGGATTAATTGATCTGGAACATGGCATAAGATGGGACTTTGCTTTCAAGTGGTATATAATTCAGTTTTAAATCTTGACTTTCATCACAAGGGTTGTACAGTAAAATCACACTATTGCCTCGGTGGCTCAATGGAAGATGAGCTTTTGTTTCATAAGAAAAGTTGCATATCTAAATAAAACCCTTGACGAAAATTGGACGCAACCCCTTCTCCTTGGATAGAAGAAAATATAATAATCCAACCGCCCTATATCTTGGCGTCCAAGTTTCCGTGCCCCCAAGTCATCAAAGCTGATCATGGTTTTATTATGTAATGAAAACGACTTCGGTCATATTGCTTTAATTATCCAATACTTTCGGTACGCAGCCTAACAAATGGAATATTTGTCTCCCATCGCGATAGGATAATGTTTCTAGACAACATGTTCTATTTATATCAATGATTGACAATCATCCATGCGCGCGTGAACGACTGTTCCTAGCATGTCTTAACACTAATTAAAAGTTCAAATGTGCAATCCACTTGACTATTAAACGAATAATAGTCATTATAGACATCAAATACTTGGAAAAGGGAGTTGTGGCGGTGTGATCGTCGCACACAAAAATGTTCTACTGTTTTGGAGTAAATAATAACAATTCTATTTAGGAAGTTGAATATATCAAAATATATTTTTCTTCAAAGTGGGCTTATTTAGTTGGGCCCAAACCCGTTGGGCTAACCCAATTTACTTCCTCTTATAAACCATACTTCGTACCCTTACTACCTGTCCACTCTCACACACTCACCACATTTTGGCGGGAAAGCAGAAAGAAGCAGAAAAAGCAAAGGAGCTCAAAGAGAAGGCCGCAGCCACAGCCATGGCGGAGGACCAGGACCAGGACCAAGACGCGGCTCTCCTTGAGGAAGAGTACGCCGTGTGGAAGAAGAACACCCCTTTCCTCTACGACCTCATCATCTCTCACCCTCTCGAATGGCCATCTCTCACCGTCCATTGGGCCCCATCGGCTCCACAGCCCCACGCCGAAACATCTTTCGCCTTCCACAAGCTCGTCCTGGGTACCCACACCTCTGATGGCTACCCCAACTTCCTCATGGTGGCCGACGCCCTCCTCCCCACATCCCAACCCAACTTTGGCGCCATTTCTGAAGAAGATCCCGAGATGCCTAAGGTACTCAAAATCGGTGCTTTTTCTCTCATTTTCAAATGAAAAATTTGTCGGCACCTTGTATTTTGTACTATTTTCAAGAAATTTGACGTGGGTTCGGAGTATTTTCAGAGAAATGAATTGTGGGTAATCGGTGTTTTTGAAGAAGTATTTTGTGGGCACCTAGTGTATGTTAAAATTTCTAGCTGAAAATGTTTGAATGTATGGTTGGTGTGAATGTAGGTGGAAATAACGCAGAAGATTCCTGTTGATGGGGAAGTGAATAGGGCACGGTGGATGCCACAGAAACCAACTATTGTGGGTGCGAAGACCAGCGGTGCTGAGGTGTATGTGTTTGATTCTGCGAAACATGGGTTGAAGCCTCAAGAGGGTGGTTGTGATCCTGATTTGAGGTTAAGGGGTCATGATAAAGAAGGATATGGCTTGTCCTGGAGCCCTTTTAAGGAGGGTTTCCTTTTGAGTGGTTCTTATGATTGTAAAATTTGTTTATGGGATGTGTCTGCTTCGCCTCAAGATAAAGTGCTCGATCCAATCCATGTTTATGAGGTAAATTTGGGGCTAAACTTAATAGTTATTGGCATGTGTAGCATACATGTTTTGGCTATGGGGTGTCTAATGCTTTGACTATGGGAATTGTGAATGCCTCTTTTCAGCGTCATGAAAGTGTGGTTGGAGATGTATCATGGCATCCAAAGAACGAGAACCTATTTGGGTCTGTTGGGGATGATTGTCAGTTGATGATTTGGGACTTACGCACAAACCAAACGCAGCATTCTGTCAAAGCTCATGAGAAAGAGGTCACATAACTTTGAACAATATCATTTATATGATAGTGGCTTTTCAATCTATCTGTATGATATCGCTTTTACGAATCTCATACCCTTCTGAATTACACATGCACTTGGGAATTAAGCATGTTACCTTTCATGTAGTTTGGCTCCATATACGGTATCTTAAACTTCACATATGCAGTTTGGTGCAACTAATACTAACGTATTTCAATGATTTGAGTTATAGATGATGTTCTTTAGAAGTTTTGTTGATGGTTTAACGTATATGTTATTCACTGCCATAACGTTAGTTCAGGAAAGATTTGGAGAATTGTTTAAATAGGTACCTAGGGTGAAAGTGAAACCAAAGTTGTAGCTAGCAAAGGTATCAGTTTCAGAAATATGAATCTATTTGTTGCTTCACTTATGGGTATTGTTGTAGTTTGTGAAGGGATCATTGTTGCTTTCTCATTTATCTTTCTATTACTATATCTCTTGTATATTTTTACTGAAAACTTCTCCCTCTCTCCCATTTTTTGGGTGTTTTCAGGTGAACTATCTTTCTTTCAATCCGTATAATGAATGGATTCTGGCGACAGCATCTTCAGACACTACCATTGGTCTGTTTGATATGCGGAAACTGACTGTGCCATTGCATGTTCTGAGTAGCCACACGTATGTTCTTTATGCCCCTGCACCCCCTCTTCGTACAAATCAATTATATTATCATCATCTATGTTCTTTCATGCCTTTGTGTGTTTCCCTTGATCTGTGCACAGTCAAGAATTCTGTTACTAAGTTTTGGATATCATTCTACTTCTGTGGCTCCATGTTCTGTTAGGTCCATAGTTTAATATCAAAATCCAAATTAAACACTATACTAAGACATATTCTTCATGCTACAATTTGCAAAATTACTTATTTTTCGTTTGTATTTGAAGTGCATAAAACCAGTATCTTAGGATTGATGCAGCAGTCTGATACTTATGTAGCAGTCACATATCTTTGCAGTGTTTTAACTGAAATTCCTCATTCTTTCCTTGCAGAGAGGAGGTGTTCCAGGTTGAATGGGATCCGAATCATGAAACTGTGTTGGCATCTTACGCTGATGACCGAAGGTTGATGGTTTGGGACCTCAACAGGTATTTGATTTCACAGATTGCTGCTGCTAGAAGTGCTTTTGCTTTTGTTTATCTTCTAGGTTATGCAGCGTTTACATATTTCATTCATGCTTCATTAGGATTGGGGATGAGCAGTTGGAGGGAGATGGTGATGATGGCCCACCAGAACTTCTCTTCTCACATGGCGGCCATAAAGCAAAGATATCAGATTTCTCTTGGAACAAATATGAGCCATGGGTCATTTCAAGTGTAGCTGAAGACAACACTCTTCAAGTTTGGCAAATTGCTGACAGCATATATGGGGACGATTATGATGTGCAAGCTTCCGATGTTTAGTCATAAATTCTCAACCGCCAGCTTAGAAGATAATTTTCCTACCTCCTTGACCTGTGTAAACTCTTGTTGTTGTTAGGTGCCGTGTTGAGACTTTTCTTTTGAGATGATTACAAGACTAGAAAATTATGTATCTTCAAAAAGAAAAAGAAAAAGTTTATATTTGGATGGATTTGACAGAATTGGTTTTTTCCTTTTTATCATCTTTGGATGAGTATGTTTGTCTTGATGGATTTGATCGACTAAGCCTATGCCAAACCATTGCCCTTGATTTTAAAACCTTCTAACGTCTTGTTTTTTACTCTTTTTTAATACAAGCAATAATTCTAAAGATGGTGCGCACGCAAACAATCAAAGTGCTAATGGAATTCAGACATGAAATCACTGGTTAGGAAGATTGTGTTTCTCGCTTGGCCTTCTTTTGAAATAGGAAAATATCAACGCTAAATATAAACTAATAATTTTGTCCTCCTTCGCAATTACTATCAAAATATCATATCACCTTTTCGTGGAGAGTTTACAGCAGCTCTTTTTGTAAAGGGAACTTTTGGGTTATTTTTCCATCACTTTAAATCCCCTTCCCTCATTCAAGAATCAAATATTCAAAAAGGAAGAAGAAAAAACTTTATTCGTTTCTCAGTGATCAAAATCACGTTAGTGGGGATATCAATATACACCAACTCTTTTCACTTTTCTCTCTAATGATATTACCCATCATATAAATGAGAATGAACCTATAAGAAATTCACCAGTGGATATTAAAAGCCAACTGTCTACACATGAATCCAGATCACTAAAATAAGTTGGTTAGCAGAAGCACATACTGACCATCCAAAGGCAAGGAACCTACAGAGATTCTCCTTGCCATCGTCAATGGTGGAAATAGGGTGTCCACTGACATGCACAATGACCAGATGCATCACCTAAGGGCAATGTACTGTGAAATTTATCCACTAGTCAGTCACCCACAAATGCATTCTTTTTATTCCTTTTCACCAAAATGCTAAGCTCTTGAGTTATTTTGATGAAGAGAAACAGTAAATCAACAAAAGCCGGAAACTACGCAAGCTTCCACACAGATCACAAATTTGGATCTCACAAAGTGATTCTTGTGACTCACCTGTTTACAGCTCATAGTACTGAAACATGATAGAAATCACATGCCACCTTCTCTACGGTCTGTAATTCAGCAATCAAGAATTCATGTGGCTCAGAAAGAGAAAGAATGGATATAGTAGAACTACTTATAGCATATTGAAATGAAAATTTCGCAAAGTTACATGAACCAAAGGTAATTTGACTGATATATGTAGCCTAAGACTATTAGAAGGTTAATCCTAAGGGAATTTGAGCTTCATTGAAGACCATTAAGTTGTCTCTGCCATAAGTTTCACTGGCTACACATAAACTAAGTTTACAGCACTACAGCACATGCCAACTCATATTATAACTTGAACAAAATAACAGCAAATCCAGCAAAACTTCAGCTTTACGTAAATAAACCATCCCATGCAAAGAACCAAACAAATGGTTCAAGAAATAGAAAAAAAAAATTTAACCAAAAACACAAAACGACCTGAAGGAGAGCTGATGCTGCAGTTTGAAAAACTACTTATTGCAGGGCAATATATGTACTCATGGGGATAATGACACTGCTTCCTTCCCAAGCCCTTCAGTTTGCTGCTGCGGCTCGAGCCCCTCCTAAAAAGACAAACACCATCTAATCAGTGAAAAGAATTGCACACTTCCAAGTTCCAACAGCTGTATTCAGGTCTATTCATTTCATGGTCAACAAAAGAAGAATCTTCAGCCATCTGCCCAGGAGGAAGATAATAAATTGTAATGCACAATATTTAACTCATAACATAAAGGGCTTAACCAACCCCAATTTGCCAATTACCGAATCAATAGAGATGATTTTGTTTATATAGCCAGCCAAAACAAGTACAAGTCTTTGTCTAGCAGCATGACATGGAAACCCTTTATTGACTCTTTTGTACTTCCTCCTACTGAACTCTTCTTTTATTTTTTATAGTTAAAAAGTCTCCACTTCCAGCTCTATCTCATGATCCACTTTTCTCCACAGAGTAAAGGGTTCTGAACAGAACGGAATAAGAACATCCTCCAACTCTTATGATATATTCAATCTTCCAGGAGAAAGCCAAGTTTACAGAGATGATTTCACAAACTAGGATAATTTAGCCAATCCTTTTAAAGGTTATGGCTAATTATGATACATTTCAGACATGTAACAACACAAACACCAAGATGAGGCGTTATTCATGAATTTGAAAAGAAATATGCTGACTACAACATTACAGGCACAAAAATTTGTATTCCAACAATCCAAACTTTGCGTGGAAACAAATAAAAGAAAATCTTAAAAGACCTCATAAAGCACCACCCAATTCCGAATGCAACTGATTTCATCAGGGCTCAATGAAAATAATCCTTTACAACTAGATGTAGCGCCCTAGAGAACCATCTTGCTAATGCATGCACCAAAGACTCATGAGACAAGTTCTGTGTATATCAAAGATGCAGAATTGCTCATGATTAAAACCCAACTATAACAATAGAACAGGAAACATATATGAGATAACAGATATGAATATAAAACCACACAAATAACTCCAATTAGCCGACTAACTAATGTAAAGTAGTCATAAAAATAAGCCATTTAGGTTAAGGAATCTTATGTCTCACCCTTCCTCTTATTTGTGGCAGAAGAATTACCATTTGACACCCCATCTCCAAGTCCACAACCAGAAAGCTCCTTGTATCCTCCATCCTGATTTACCAAACACTGAAGATTCTCAAAATCACAACCGCTAAATCCTTGCCCATTCATCACCGCCCCATCTCCACATTTTCCATCAGCCCCTTGATGAAGACAATAAAGCTGATCATCACGCTGTAGATTACATGGATTCATCACATACGCACTGGGGATGTTTGGGTTGGGCAGGTTGGGATTCACTGATTTCTGATATGGAAAAGATCCAATTTCTCCTTCAATCCTTCCTCGAATGTCCACAAGCAAACACTTGAGCCTCGCAATCTCAGCCTCCAATGCAGCCTGACCTTGCAACCTCTTCAACAACTGCTGATTCAGAGCTCTCAATCTCACAACTTCATCCTCCAAAGACGCTGCCCGTGCCTTCTTCTTCTCGCGGTACTTACGAACTGCTTCTCGATTACCTAAAGGCCGTTTCTTCGATTTCTTTTCCCCAGATTCAGCAGTGTCATCAGTTCCAGCCTTGTCTTCACTTCCTGTTGCTGAAGACACGATTTTAGTGTGTACATGAAAGCAAGTGTGTGTATGAGAGTAGTCAGGGCCAGGTGGGTTGCAAGTGTGGGTGTGAGTGCAAGCATGAGTGTCCTTAAGAAGGTCATCAAAGAAGCTGTCCATTGAGCAACTACTCGGATGTTCACCCCCCATGTTTGGACCCGAAAACATCTCTTGGTTCGAAAAATCGAGCTCTCCGTCCTCCATTATGGCAAAGAACACGAAGAACTAAGAGCAATAAGTTCCAATTGAGTGAGACAGTAGCAAAATTTCAAACTTTTGGCCTCCACCCAGATGAAGTTTCGAGCCCTCTACTCTTATCGACGGAAACCAGAGAAACCCAGATGGACAATTGTAGTTCAAAACTTGTGTTCTACACGAACACAAAGAAATCTCCCAATTCAATCACGACCCAGATGAGATTTCATCTGCCCAAAGTCTAATCATCAGTTAAATTGGCTGAAAACCAAAGATTTTCAGCCCAAATGAACAAATAGTATGGAGGATTCAAAAGCTAAAAGATGAATTAAAGAGTTATTCCCTGCGATTAAAGTTATGTGGCTGACATAAAAGTAACAAGGAAAAGAGCAGAAAGTTTAAGGATTTGATAATGGAACCCTAGGGAACACAGAGAGCCAATGACAAAGAGAGAGACAAAGCAATAGCGAAAACTCTAGAGAGACAAACATGGCAACATCTTGACGTGAAAAAACCAAAAATATGAACATACCACGGATTGGCAAGTGGTTCAGAGATTCCGCGAAACTCACCTCTCTTTCAAAAGTCAGATGACACAGCGGAAATGTCCTCGCTCTCTCAATATATACGTATTTAAGAAAATCGGAGATTAAAATATTTTGGGGACTAATTATCTCGTACGTCTGGCACTAGGGTTATGTGGAAACTTGAGAAGATAAATGTTGATCCTGGCCGTTGACTGAATAGATCGTGTCCTGCATATTAGCACCCTGTGATTTTGCGACTCTGGTTGCATATGTATACAATGGTACTGCTATAGGCTATAGACCTCAAGTGGGACCAGGAAACCTGAGAAGAACATTTTTGCTTAGGCCCGGCACAGCCCAATACAAGGCCCAAGAAAATTGATTGCCGTTTTTTTTTGGCATACAAGCGATAGTCTAAACTAAAGAGGTGGAAGATTTCTCTCATACACACATCCACACACAACTAATAAGATGTCATGGGGATTAGAACTTGAGACCTTTTGTCTGCAAGTCAAAGTCCTTTTCCACTAAGCTTGACTCTGTTGACAACTGATTGCGGTTTTAACTCTATTGGAATTGCTTCTACAAAAAATACTTCTTCTCACAACTTCTTTTGTTAGAAACGATTTTCTTGCAAATGGTTTATTGCTCAAGTGGTTAAGAGTATTTACCAATGCATTCGAGTTTCATAAAAAAGAAGCAGTTTTCTTAAAAGAACACTGAAATTTTTGTTAAAACCACTTTCCAATTTTATTGTACTACCACAAACGAAAATAATAAAAAGGGAAGTTCGTCATATGCAATGCATGTTAATCCTGTTTTTTTAAAATATTTTAGTAGTTGAAATGATAAACTCTCGTTTGATTGAAGTTGAAGGAGAAAAGAGAAAAGGTTCTCTTTCATGCTGGAATGAAAATGCTAAGAATATTTTAGAGAGATGATGCTTGTTTGACTTTAGGTTGATGTAGGGTGTTGCGACATTATCCTTCCATCTTCTTCATATTGGTTTATATATGAAACCAACATAGACAGGTTCTTGTTACAAAAATAATTATCAATTGTTTTGTACATATCATGTTTTTTATGTTTGATTTTGGGTCTCTGGCTTTTAGGCCCCCCCCTTTCTTTGGTTTCAGCCCTGTCTTCCTGTTTTGGGCCGGCTTTTGAGCATTTTCAATAGTGTTACGCCCGCTTATTCCACTACGCTTACGGCAAGAGTTAGATTCTCACTCTCTTTTTCATGAATTTGAAATAAAAGCGTTTTCTTATCGTTGGATGTTGAGCAAGGATTCAGTAATATGACATGAATGTGCTTTCACAACTTTCATACGAATTGTGGGGTTTAGACTTTCAATATGATTCAGTCACAATTTTATTGCCATGCCATATTAGCATGCGTTTCTGATTGAACTTTAATGACTTTGGACAGACCACAAGAAAAAAGGTTATGGACTGTCTTTAACATCAAAATTAATGTATCGGTGCATGCCGTTCCCTCCACCAGGTTACTTGTGGAAGGGTGTGGGTGGACAAGCTCTTATAGAACTGATCAAGGTTTGTTTACCAAGCAAGCAATTTATGCTCTCATGGTATTTGGTGCATATAGTCTTCTGCATACATATTTAAGATAGTGAATAGAAAAAGGAAAAAAAGGGTTGAATTCTTGCTCTTAGGTATCAGTTTCAAACTCCAAAGCCTACAGTTTTTATCTGCTTTGCTTCATCTTATAGTATTTGGCATTTTGGATTTGTGTTTTTACATCCCATGTTCTCATCTCTTTCGCTTGATATTCTTCTTTACTTTTGATCTCATATTTTCTTATAATGCTTGTTATTCTCATGTTCTGAAGCTGAACAGAGGAAAGGTGGAGGCTGATAAGGAAGGAAAGAAGGAAAAGATGAGGAGGAGGAAAGAGAAGAGGAAGAGAAAGGAAAATGTAGAGATTAAGCAGAAAAGGCCAAATCTGCAGGATAAGGGGCACAAGATTGATGGAGAGAAGAAAGTTCAAGAAACAACTGACAGTAAAATAAGAAAAGATAATCTCACTGGAGAGGTCAAGCAACATGACTCTTCTGGAAGCTTCTGTGCTTGTTGGGTTTGCTCCCTTCATGCAGACGTTGATCTTCCCTTGCCATGTCTTTTTCAACTGAAAAAATGCCTGGATCAAGTGCTATATAGAAAACCAGTTTGTTCAACTCCCACACAGGCACACACTGCTGTGCAAGAGAAGTTTAAGAAAACTTCTATAGCTGATGAGAAGGCTGAAGCTGTTCTTGTACCCAGCTTCTCTCAGAATGGTTCTCTGCAGAAAGAATCACGATTTAAAGAGTTGGTTTTGAATTGGGTTCCTCCTCCCTTGGAGAATCTAAGCAGTGAATTTAATGATCAAGATCAACAGTGGCTCTATGATGGGGTGTCACTCAGGAATGACACAAAAAAGAAAATTGAAGCTATCAATGATCATTTGTGCTATCCATTTACAACGCTATTTTAGGAATGAGTGTGAGAAACTCATGCCATTTTGTAAGCCGGTTTGTTTTAATGTAATCGGATCGAAGTAAGCTTAACCCTGAATTCAGATATCTGATTTCTTTTACAATTGGACTTTCCTTAATGTGGTAATTACTTGCAGATTGATATTTTTAAGATTTTGATCATTTGAGCAGAAGCCATTTATGCAGAACCATGTAGATCATTAGCACTATAACCCAATTTCAAACTGTTATTTTTATTCATACCTGTGTGGAGGAGATATGTTCACCTCCATCTGGCAAGAAAAACCATATGCTGAAAACTGAGTTTCCCACAACCTATAGATTCCATCTCATTCTGTGATTATGTTGAAAAACCGAGTTTCTGACAAGCTAACAAGCTACAGATTTCCATCCTTTTCACACTCACTTCTAGATTTTATTTACATCTACAATCCACCCCACCATTGGGTGCGCATATTTTTCTTCCCCTACGCTGTACAGATGGTAATTTCATGTCTGCACAAGTATGTGACAAACTTACAAAACAAGAGAAAAAGAATTCAAGAGAGTGCAAAAGAAGCTAGTCAAAGCTTGATGATCTGCTCCACCTTCCTTTCAAATACTCTTCCCAAGAAACGCTGTTGCCCCGCTCCACACTACTGAATGATGTTGTATCATCATCGACATCAAGCAGTGCGAGACCCAAATGTGACGCTGCACATGAATTTGGATAAACTTCATCATCATCATTATCGTCCCGGATTTCTGAATCCTCCAGATCAAAAGATTGAGAGTTCACTTGCTTTTCAACATCTGAATCCCCTTTCAAGAGCTTCAGAATCTGAGGAAAAGAAGAGCATGAAACTTGGAATTCATTTACAGTAATACTAACAGAAACCCATTGCCTACATATTACTAAGAATATGACATTTTCATACCGCACTCATTTTAGGACGAAGCCGAGCTGAGCGTGTGATGCAGAGTTTTGCTGCATGAACCATTCTCAGCACCTGAACCTCATCAAACTTTCCACCCAAACTTGGATCCAGTATGTCTTTTACATCCCCTCTATCTATTTTAGGCTTTGCCTGAGATGTAATTCAATGTAATTTATTCAAAATAGTTACAAAGAGTCAAATAAAAACAATCAAAATATGGAGGTGGCTCTTACCCACATGACCAAGCTTTCTTGTTCCTTGGGAGTCTCAGAGCCAATTGGTTTTCTTCCTGATAATAATTCAAGCAGGACCACACCAAAGGCATAGACATCAATCTTGTCACTGATCTTTCCATACATGAAATATTCAGGAGCAAGATAACCAAATGTTCCAACCACATCACATTCAGTCAGAAAAGATGTAGTTGTTGGTCCCCATATTGCAAGGCCAAAATCAGATAACTGTCAAATAGATGCAAGCAATTAGCCAATGTCATAAGGTTGTGATCATGTTTTAAACACCATTTGGTTAACCAGTACCTGTGGTACAAACTCTTTGGTGAGAAGAATGTTTGAAGACTTGACATCTCTGTGAATAACCGGTGGAGAACATTCGTTGTGCAGGTAATTGAGGGATTCAGCAATCCCAACAGCAACATTAAATCTGACTTCCCACGGCAATAGGGATTTGCCTATGTTCTTGCCTGCATCACCTTTCATTTTGAAATCAACATGGTTTATGACAACTTTTACCAAGCAAATGAAAGAGGACTAGCGTAGTTACACTTTACCATGTAAATTTCCCTCTAAGCTTCCTTTAGGCAAGAAATCATAAACAGAGATTAGAACATTGTCTTCAATGCAGAAACCAAGCAGAGGCAAAATGTGTTCGTGCTTCAACGAGGAGACGATATCAACTTCATGGGCAAAATCCGTCCATGCTTCTTTGGATGACTTCATAAGCTTTACTGCCACTTGCTTGCCATCTGCAAGAGTTCCCTTGAACACAAGGTTGCATCCTCCTTTCCCAATAAGATTTTCTGCTAGAAGAAGAGGAAGTTAGATAGAAAGATACTCAAAAGTCTAAATAGAGAGACGGGAAGTTAAAGAAAAGGCACTCAGGAGAAAGTATATGTTAAAAACCTGAGGAGAATTGAGAAGTGGAAGTTTTCAGAACATCATGACTGAACCATCTGCAATCAGATGAGTTTGTTTCCAGGAGACGCTTTAACTTTTCTGGTAGCTCATCCAAACCAGAACAACTATCCTTGATAACCTCATCAACAATGTCACTAATACCTCTTTCAAAAGGATTTTCTTTGATAGTTGAACATTGAGGAGACTGCTGTGGAGAACGGTCCGGTAAGCTCATCACCCATTGCACCACAGACATGTCTCTTGAGGCTGGGAATTGTGGATTCGCAGAAGTCGCTCTGCAGAGTAGGGGCCAGCCAAGGCTCTTACCCACATGCTCTCCTGCACCAAGTGAACTTGATCTACAAGGGACTCTCTTGTGTTCGTTCTTCAAGTCTTCACTGCTATGCTTTGAACCATCTTGGGAGCTCTGAGCCATATCAGAAAATGATTTCACAGTTTCTGTATCTTCCTCAAAGTCACCAAACTCAGATGAGCTTCCTTTAGAAGTGAGATTTTCAATCTGAGAAAGACTTGGCCTTGGGTCACCTGTGAAACCTACCATAACCGAAACACAATTTAGTATTCATGAGAGACCTACTGGTGGGGTAATTTCTTGGACTTAAAACACCAACCTGGTAGTTGATTACTGGTGCACCTTCTGAACACAATTTTCCCATTGTGGATGGCCACAACATCAGTGGTTGGTGGCAATTTCTTAGCACAGAATTTCGCCGTAGAATCCCAACCCCTGCAAATGAATCCTGCTTAGAGTAATCAGAAAAGAATCACATACATTAAAACCAATGCGAGTTTTCCTTCAGTTCCAAACTCTCTCCCTTACCCAAGAGTGTTTGGCTTGCTTGTGCCTACAACTATGGCCAGAGTAGCATGGTTCTTTGCCTCTCTAACTAGAGCCTTTTGGATTGACCTTCCTGTCAAGACCTGAGTGGTGAGGTCTACCTGAAATTTTAAGTATGACAGTCCATAATCAATCTCAAATTTTGCAACATATGAAATAGTGCAAGAGTTATGAACAAGGATTAAGAAGTATGAACCTTTTTCATATCACATAGCCCCTCATAACCCTCTAGGTAACCATCCAATATCGTCTTGGCTTTCGAGGCGAAATCTGTACTCATTAACATAACACATAATGTTATTTAATGACATGTTACGTTGTTAGACTCTCAATCGGAACTACACATATATAAAAGATTTACCTAATCGATAGTTCAGATTGACAGAAACATAACATTTTATTTACGAGTATAACAAAGGAACACATATGCAAATGAAACTATATCTGCAGGCATTACCAGAACTTCGACAGACATGAACTGCAATGACGCAATCTCCGGGTTCAGCGACTTTCACCAGAGCCCAGCCGAGCAGCTCTCTGCTCTGGCTATCAATTGGAATCCCAACCAACACAACATTCTTCTTCTTCTTCTTCTTCTTTATAAGATCCTTGAACACCTCCTCAAGTATCATTGCGTTCTTATGTTTATGCCTCTGATAAAATCTCTCTCTCCCCCTCTTTCTCTCTCTATCACAATCTCAAAATTTCTATAAACGTTTTCTGGCTTCCAAACTTCCCACTTCCTGAATTTAACATTTCAACCCCTGCAACAACAAAAAAGCCAACATGGTAACTCAGCCCAGAAGAAACCAGAAAAACCAATGTCCCATTACAACATAACATTTCCGGAGCTGCCAGTTGTGGATATAAATGGTGCCCATCAACGCATAGAATCCCATTAAAATATTGCAGATTTATAAAATTCAAACAAATCCCATTTGAAAATTAAAGTCCTTTCATATAAAAAAAGGAAGAAAATCATGAAAAGAAAGCAGAATCAAGAAGAAGATAAACGTGACCAGACAAAATAACACGTACCTAAAAAATCTTGTACCCACTCGTGGCTAAATCCCAACATGCTGTTTTAAAAACCAATGCCCCCAAGTAGCATCAGCAGCCTACCTACTGCAACTAAATTCAACACCCAGAATTCAAAATAACTATTAACAAAATAAAGTGCTAAGCTGACAAACAAAAAAAAAAGAAGGCTTAGATAAGCAAATGGGTGCTTTTAAAAAACAAAAACAAAAATTCTGAAAAAGGAAAACAAGAACAAAAAAAATGCTGGGTTTTGGGAATTGTGTCGGCGAGAGAGTGAATTCCCGCCAAAAGTGGACAAAGCTTTTTTTTTTTTTTTAGGGGTTTTTTATTTTTATTTTTATTTGTTTTGATTTCTGGTTTGGCTTTGGTTCTTGTTTAAAGTGAAAGTACAAATTGAAGAGCTTATTTGAGGCCGTTAAAAAGCAGCAGTTTTCGCGGGAAATCCCAGAAATGCGACAAAAGAGGACATGCGGGCTTCAACCAGTTTTCTCGGGTTAACGAAAACAGGAGGCTGTAGACGGCCGTTGCCGTACCACTTATTATTTAAATTCAACTAATCATAATTAATTAATTAATTAATTATTGACCAAGAAAAAAGATAAATAATTAATTGACACAAATAAAGTAAATAAACGACTGCTGAGCAAAGAAAAAATTTCACCAAAAAAAAAATGGAGTGATGGCAGTCACATCAACATTTTGGAGGATGTTTATCATGTTACTGTTGCAGGAAAATTATTGGCGTATTTATTTTCAATTGGGTTTGTTCCTAATAAATCCTAAATTAGCTTTGGTCCTGTCTATGAGTTAAATGCAATAGTCTTTTTGAGATTTAATTAATTAGTGGTCTATTTTTTAGATTAAGACTTTGTAGAATTGAAAGTAGCTAGTATTATGAAATTACAAGATGAAACTCAATATTTTTATTTTTATACAAGCGATAATTTACTTTAAACTAATCTAAATTATGTAGAGAGGGATTTGAACTCAAGTGCAGAGTGGGAAGCACATCCGCTCTAGCTAACTTAACTAAGCTCATGTTTAGATAAACACTTATGTGAAATGGGAATAACACTTTTGTACTATTCTTGGCCAATCACGATGTGTCACACATTATAACTTTTTCACTTGACATAAATTAATTGGCCGAATATAACAAAATAATGATATCTCTATTTCATATAAGTTTTTCTGTCAGGCCTGCCAATATTTTCTTTTAGTCAAAAAAACTCATTTTCCGGCTCATTCTAATCACTTAGAACACTTAATTTAATCGATATGAGCTTTAGCTGAAAGAAAAAAAAGAAGATAAAATAAGAAATTAGTCAGTATTTTGACAGGAAAAGTTTTATTCGTGTTTGAATGGAATTAGAGTAGGGTGGATTGGAAAAATTCATCGGTCTTCTAAGCTATATTCTCTCTTCTTTTTTTGTTCGAAGCTATATTCTCTTTGTTCTTGTTTCTAAAAGGCCACCTGCATTTGAAAGTATCTCGTGTGGATGCCTTTTTTTTTCTTTCTGCTAATTTGATTGTTCCGATGTCTGCTTCATCCACGTGTCCCCACATCTTTTCAGAATCTACCGACAAAAGGATGGTAGGGCAACACATGGAACATATGTGCTAGGACAAATAAATGTATGACCCATTGACATGAGATGAGAGCAATCCATCCAATCAACAATTATAGAATCAACTTTTCTATCTTTTTGGACCAAATTTTATGCTTACCACTTGATGGAAGGTGTGATACATTGTATGTATAATGTGTCACGATGCTATCATAATAACCGATCACGTAGTACGTACGTTACACTAAATAAAAAGTTGGTATATACTTAATCTTCTTCTTAAATTAAATTACACAAACACAAGATTATATTCTAAAGTACGTGCCATTTGCGTCTTGGTGTCCGATCTTTATCATTATTTTTTTTGCAGTTTTTTAATGTTCGGAATAAGTCACAGATACTCTTTAGGTTTTCAGTGTAGTTTTCACCTCTCCTTTTGTGAGAGCTTTTCATCTATCCTTTACGAGAGTTTTATTTGTATTGTTATGGCTTGAGTTTTTCAAGCTTTATCTCTTTTTGATTCTTCTGAGTTTGCAATCTTAATTGAGATGTATATGCTAGAGTTTCTTCGATAATTCATTATCGTTAGTGAAGACACATCAGATTGTCTTAATTTTGATGTTAGACTGCTCTGTTATTGAAATGACTCTTTGTGACTAGTTTGTATTGACCATTTTATGGCTAGTAGCTTTTTTAACTAAATTATGAATGCAATCTTATAATTTCTCAATAACAAAAAAACGTATGTACCACTCAAGTAGTTATTGTAATTACCATGTTATGCTCAAATAAAAATTTATATAAAGTAGCTACAAATATTGTACACATCACACGCATTATACTTCTAAACGTAGAGTAATTTTTTGGTGTTCCGGGTACACTACGTGGCTGGTATACCATCCAATACACGGAAGACATATGAAATATTTGCAATGCAGCCCGCCACATGTTATAAAAAGAAATGCAGTAAGTTAGACAATAATTCCACATGTCTTAATGTTTATTGGATAATACACCAGTCACGTGGTGTACCCGGAACATAAAAAAAATTTCTCCTAAACACGATACTAAACTTTTAATCATGACCAACTGCTATATCAAAAGTTATTGAAACTATAAACTTACCAATTTTCTTTACATATCGTACAATATATAATTTTTTTTATTTTTCATTTGAAAAGTACTAAATTTAAATAACATAAAATAAAAAAGTTGCATCCACAAAGTCAAATGCAAAAATCAAACACATTATTCGACTATATTTTGAATTGAAATTGGTTCGCTAAATTACATTAGGAAACTGTGTAACAACTTCTAAACTTATTTATTTGGAAGTGGATCGTCCTAAACCCATTTGGGCAAAAGCTTATCATAATTAAGCTCGTAATTAATAAATTAAGTAGGGTTTCCACTTTCCACCACGTTTTATTGGTCTAACAAAGGGAGCTAACTGCTCTTCCCAATGGACCATGGTGCTCCATCACCGTTTTTTGGAGCCATGCAAAGAAATTATTTGTTAGGAGAATATATGGTAGGTCAAGAAGATATATAAACCCTACCAACCTTCTTTTCTATAATAATAATATCATCCCAACACAAGAACAATTAACCACGAAAATGATAAACACGTACGCTCGCACATAATCAAACTCTTCGTTCTGGCATGAATGACATCATTTGATTTTGATTTTGAATATGATTCATTTGAATTCCGTGGAAAATAATGGGAATTCATGCATGCATTAATCAATACACGTTTATATTAATATGCATTGCTTGTAACATTATTATTTATATTCTATATAGTTGTTACATATGAGTATTGATTGAACTATAATTATATTAGAAAAACCTATATATTATGGCCCCTGGTGGCCCTCTGAGATTGGGTTGGTAAGTGAGAAAGCGATTTGCAAAAGAAGAATGACGACTTTGATTCCTAACCGAATGGATAATGACGGAAAATTATATTTTAATTAAGATTAACTATTATTAAGACTAAGATCATAGCAGAATGGGCCCATTTCTGTGGGTATTTCTTTCAATGGGCTTTTGTTTGGGCCGAAGCCCAATTATTGCAATGGGTCCAATGGGCTTTGCTCATGACCCGAAAAACGCCTTCGAGTCTCACCAACGATAATCAACATGTGATTAAATTTAACACAAAAGTTCAATCATAATTATGAACATTCTTCCAACCAAGAAAACAACAGTAATGTTGAAGTGTAGCTTCAAAAACTTGGCAGCTATAATATTCATTTTCAAGCAAAGGAGCTCAAATTACAATTTGGGGGCCTCAATTCAATATATATAAGACAAGTTATAGTAATAGAGAAGCTGGATATATATTTTTTAAACAAAATTAATTAGCCCATGGCATACTTCTGGGTCCAGCTCCGAGCTGTTGACTCATATTTGACTTTGTCAGTCTTGCACATATGAGCAATTTCCGGAACAAGAGGGTCATCAGGGTTCGGGTCGGTCAGAAGTGAACATATCGACAGTAAAACCTGCATGTCACAAAAACAATAATATTAGAGACACTAACTAACCCATAAGACCCGTTCACGTGTAACTCCTTCATGTAAGGTCAATTAAACCGACACCATTTTGAAATTCTTGATCCGTCTCTGACTCAGAACACATAAAACGTGTCGATGGTATAAGTTTCATGTATGTTAGGGTCTAATGCCACCTAAAACTCATATGTGTCACCTTGGATATGGTGAGTGCTGGACTCCATTGCTCCTTGAGAATGTCCAAACAGATATTGCCATTGCTGTTTATATTTGGATGGAACACTTTGGTCCTGAAGGCAACCTGCAAAAGATTTATTTATTGTATCCCACAGCAAAGCATCAGAATATATTTGTATGGCAAAATGATGCAAGATTGTTAACAGAATTTGGTGATAGATTTGTTGTATATACCTTTGGAGGTTTGAAAGGATAATCAGGTGGAAAATGGATGGTTACAAGGAACACACCCCCTGAATAGGGACTGTCATTTGGAGCAATGATTGTTGCTTGCCAATGGAACATGTCCTCAGCCACAGGACCTGCAAAAAGGAAAAAACACCATAAGAAATTACACACACACACACACACATATATATATATATCCATTTTCCAAGCAATAAGACCTCTTTTTTTCAGTTCTTTTACCTGCACTGCATGAAGTTGGTGGATCTCTCTGCAAGTCCTTGAGCTCCTTCAATATTCTCTTTGAGGCCATTGAAGCAGTTTCAAAGATGAAGCTTCCTGGTTTTGAGTAAGAACTTGAACAGAAGGATGAAGGATGGATTAATTTGCAAAAGAATTACAATCTATTGACACCCTGAAAAATGGTAGGTTGGGGTGTCGGTGTATTTAATGAAGGGTGAGAAGGAGAGGTTCATGAATTCTTGTGGGCTGATGAAAGTGGGAACAGAATCAGTTCCAGAACAAAGTTGAAAGCAAAAGAATCAAGAGACTCAGAAAACAAAAATTCAAAGATTATCTGCTGCCTCAATCTCTCTATATCATAAATAAGCAGCTGCTGACCAAACAAAATTCTAATTGTTTTGTTATGCAGAAATTGATGCCACAATCTCTTTATAACAAGTACTGAAGGTCATCGATTCTAATTGTGAGGGCATGCTTTACTTACTTTAAGTAGAAGGCTAAGTTTTTTAGGGAAAAGATCTTTAGGCCAATTATATGCCATGAGAACAACTCTTACCACCCAAGAGAAAAAGATATTCGTGCTTAGCTCAAATAGCTCAGTTCTTGAGAATCTGGGACAATTTTGAAGTTGATGAGTGGTGGGGATGCATAAGAAGATCTAGAAAATATTCTCAAACGAAATACAAACACAGTTTAGCCGTAGCTTGTAAGGACCTTGATAGCCCCACTTCCTTTGCCTTGATTCTGCTTTCTGTTTTGCCTTTTTCTTTCTAGTCTCTTCATTCAATCATTTGCCACCATTCTTGGACTGGTTAATTTTCCTTTCAAACCAGTCACATGTATGCGTATACATATGCCTATTCAAGATTCAGGTGCAGACATTCGTACTGTGAACTATGAGAGGCCGGTCAGCTGGCAATATGGTCATTTGTCAGGCCTCTCACAGTCCGCGATCCTGATAATAGAGGATGTCAAACTGTCTAACATTCAAGATTGTATGTCATGAAAATATATCCATCTATATATATTCTTGAAATTTGAAGTGTACTAAATCAGGTTACAAGACGTGGATTTTATATGGCTTAAAAAGTAAAATATCAGTACTATATAGAGACAACACATTAGGGAAATCAAACCCAAAGAGGAGGGTTCAGCATGTTAACAAACACGTAATGCAAAGCATTAATATACAAATCAAATCAGAACACTGCCCAGACAGCATAAACAAAGAACTTGATGCATAAAGAGAGCTCCTACATCTGTCAGTCGAAACTACGATGCCCAGCTTGCTGCTTCCTCCAGACGGAAAAATATAACAGGGACTGAAGAGCATTAATGGATAACTGACTAATTAGTCACAGTTTCTTCCCAACGCTATTCTTTCCATGCTCACAATATAGAACAGGCCTTCTGTGCCTTTCTCTTCTTTTTCTTCTTCTGTTTTGGTGGCTGGAGAACCACTTTAATGGCTGCGTCAAAGACTGCTTTCACATTCTGCATTCACAAGGGGTATTTAACATGAACATAGTCATCAGTGTGAGATCATGGCGTGCTTCCCCTGTAGGTATCAAGTGATTTGAATTGAAGTTACAAACCTGCTGTGTTTTTGAACTACACTCGATGTAAACCGGAGCCCCAATCAGCTTCTTTAGTTCCTCTCCCTTCAAAAAGAACCCCCAAAATAAAAGGAATGTAGAAAATGAGGTCTTAATCCCATTAGTTGGTCTGAGTTTGTGGAATAATTTTTCTATATAACAAGAATAGTTAAGAAAAGAAATTGTGACTATAACTCAGGTTGCAGTAGAAAATACCTGGGCTGTGGTAATCGGCACCGCACCAGGGTGATCTACAAAGAATTTCCTATCATCCCGAAGATCTATAAGAAGAAAATTTAGCAGTCATGAGAAGCGAAGCACCAATAATGGGCAAGATAAAGATTATGTCCAGTAAGATACTGCAATACAACATGATATGGACTAAGAGTACATGTGATCACTGCTGCAACACAGAATCAGATATGATCCGATCAGAAGATACTGATTATGCCTCTGTTAATCTCTATAGCAGAGAGATATCTTCATTTCAAAATGCACATGTAAATGTAGCAGCATATGTACATGATTACATTTTATCATATATAAATGCTGATCTGCAAGGGATTTACAAAGAGCACCTCCTGACAAAAACTTCAGTGCCACTAAAATTGAACAGGTGGTCAGTATAGACCAAAAGATCTGTGTGTGTGTGTGTGTGTGAGAGAGAGAGAGAGAGAGAGAGAGTTACAAGTGTTCATCAAAATGAAAACTTGCAACCTTTACCGAGAATTTACCATTGAGGTTCTCAAAAAGCTAATAGTAAATTCAGATTACATGAGAAAGCAACCCAGAAGGTGTACAAAAAACAGAAACAGACAACACAAAAGCTGCACTTGAACCATTTGTATCTCGAAACAATTATACTTAAATGGCACCCCCAGAATTCTTAGGTTAGCATAAGCAGGCAAAGCTAATAGCCAAGGAAAGAACTTCATAGGGAAATCAAAAGTGATACATAATATCTCAATTAAGGTTGAATCAACTGATATTTATCACGAGTAGCGTAATAGGAAACAAAGGAAAGCAGGGGAGTAGAGATCTAACCAAGCTTAGTTCCAACAAGAATAATTGGAACACCAGGTGCATAATGCCTCAATTCAGGAACCCACTAAACATTGAAATGGGGAAAAAAATAACCTCATCAGCAAACTTAGACATCAAACAATAGTTGAAGAAACTTGGGGAAAGAAAAGAATTAACTCTGAGGATAGTGTGAGTCTTACTTTCTTGGCAATATTTTCATAGCTGGCCTTACTTATGAGAGAGAATGCAAGTAGGAAGACATCTGCCCCACGGTAGCTCAGTGGTCTTAATCTATTGTAATCTTCCTGTCCTGTTCCATAATTTAAACATCAGGCCCAAGCTTTAGAAAAAGACAAAACTATGAAGAATTTTTCAGATTTGAACTAACCAGCAGTATCCCACAATCCCAAATTAACAGTGCTCCCGTCCACAACCACATTTGCACTGAAATTGTCAAACACGGTTGGCACATAATCCTGCTCCCCAACATATTGCAAGCAAAAACAGAAAATCATAATCATCCTCTAGAAAATTCAATCTCATACAGAAAAAAAAATGCGAAAAGCAAAATTTTGAATCTTAATAATCACATCACTGCAAAATATAGATGCGAATATTCTCAAATTTACATACATGCTATACTTTTTTATATCACACAAAGCACCTTACACCGAACAGTCTTCTAGTCTATTGAACAGGTATAATGCAGAAAGGTTTTTACTAAGTGATTCTGATCAATCAAGGAAATATGTACGCAGGCCTCTACAAAAGAAAGAAAAATAAACAAAAAGTAAGAGAAAACTGTAGACATGAAATTTTTCTGAGCTTAGTATTCAACTTAGTTACTAGGCTTAATCCAGAGATATGATTCAACACAGGTTCAGGAATGACAAATTATAGAAAGGGTCAACGTCACTGAACAAAACCAAGAAAACCCTCTTAATAAATTCTGCACCACAACAAAGTGAACAAAAATAAAGGGCTTTGATCAGCTCAATTCAAACATAAAGACTCAAACTTGATCGAAATTTTAAGATTTCTTCACTATATTATACATACCAAACAGGGTAAATTGAAAATGTTAAAAAGAATGACCTACAACAAATAAAAGCCCTGATCATGCTAAAACCGAAATTCGAATTCTATGGGAGTCAAGTTTCATGTGATTTCCTGATTTTGCTTCTGAACACCTAAATGAGGAAACAGAATAGGAAAAAACAAAGCTTTGCTTTCTTCATCCCACGTTTTCTTGAAAACCAAACAAAAGCAAGTAAATTGTGCTCAAGAATCTTGCAGTAACCCCACATTGAAGAACCTAACTACCCTACCAGGCTCAGCTAAGCAACCCAACTAAAGACAAACCTCAAAGACTTCAACTTTCTCTCTGCAATCAAACAAAACAAGAAGAAAAGAAAGAAGAGCCCT